ATTATGAAAATAAGTTGCATCTGGTACCACTGAGCAGAGGATCTGTTTCCACTTGTTGTGTATCTTCTGCAGACGGATGTTTACTGCATTGTTTGTCAAACATCTTTCGAAAATATTATGCAGGGAAAGGTGAGGGCATATTGAGGACAAAGATTCACAATGACAGATAACAAAACAGGTAGAGGGAATGTCCTTTTCACAAGGACCTGGAGGTATTGATCATGGTTGAATCGGTATTTGCTGCAGAAACTGCTTTCAACAAATATTCAGAAACTACCTTTTAGCAACATTTTAATGAACCCTAAAAATGGTTACCAGATATGTTCTTAACACATGTTTAAGTAGCTGGTTTGACTTATAGGACAACAGTTACACATACATAGCTACACATCTGCACTCAATATTTTGTGGAAGACCTAACAATAACAATATTTTTTGTACAAAAATGTTGTCTTCTCACTGGATTTCAGTCTTTTAGATATAGCAATAGACAATAAACATGTTCAAACTAACATACTTCGGTAAACATCTGTCATTTTATAGACTAAATGATAACGACAAAATAATCTAGTCTAGTTCTAACTTATAAAAATATTTCATGGCCCTGTCTTTCTTCTAATCTGACTTGCCTACAAATTTGGTTTGATGTATTTTGTGCACTCGAGATGTTTGTGTTGAGGAAAACATCCTGAGGGAGGACTCAAGACTTCCTCTTTGCGCCAGCAGCTTGGATCTTCATCTCAATTCCTTTCTTAGTTTGAGGCTCAAGCTTTACTTAGGATTTAACTGGGATGGAAATGGTTATCACACGGCTGTTCGTCAGCTCGCAGGGCCTGTGGGTGGGGGGGGGGAGTCGACAAACAAACAGTGAGAGTTTACCAGCCCCAGTCCCCTCTGTGTTTGTAGAAATGAACTCTTACCTTGGTTTGGAAGGCTGCACTGCTGGTATCCTTGCTGTGTTTTTGTAACCCTTTGCTAAAAAAGCCTTGCTCTTAATTGTATCCCATGGGGCCCCGAGCTCTCAGTATTCACAGCCCTTCCTGTCCCTCGTACTGATCCTCCCCCTCTCCCAACCTTAGCCCCATCATCCCAACTCGACAAGTCTCTCGTCTTTATTCGCTCGACTTCAAAGCGGCCCTCGGGCCTGGACTCCTCAGAGACACGGGGGCCAGCCTTCAGGGCCTGGGAAATAGGGTGAAAGTGAGGTGGAGTACAAGGCGGCTCGTTAAGTTTGACAGGCACAGGTTAAAGAAAATAACAACAAGTAGTTCTGTTGCTGTTCCTCATCAGGGTGTCACTAGAGAGACGTTGGTGTTGTGTAATTACAGAAGCAGGTTGCAGATGTTTGAAAGGATCTGTGTACGACACATCTCACCGTTCTTTGATGAAGGCATCTTTGTGGAGGCGAAAGATACGAGCTGCTATGCTGATTGAGGAACCTGCTATAAAGAGAGAGGCCTGGTTAATGTTTGCCGCTGACTTACCAAAGAGGTGGACACATGTCAGCTTTCATCAGCATCAAAATAGCACCCTTCAAACACGTTTCCAGGGGCTGCTTTCTTATCAGGTCTCCATATATCTCAAAGCAATTAACACAGAGAAAACGGGTGACTGCGTAACGAGTTCAATCTGTATCTTTAGTGAAATAATTGTGTGCTGCAAATGAGTGAATACACTCTTCCCTGGCGTGTGACCCAAGAGCAACACCTGTAGTGCGGAGAACAAAGAAAACAGTGGTTCATCTGCGGCCAGGGAGGAAAGAGTGAGTGATTTAATTGAATGATGCCCTCTGATCGGAGTGGGGATTGTTTCTCCATCGTGGTGTTTTATCTTTATCTCTGGTGGTTGACTCTCACTGTTCGATCAATAAATCCAGACGGGGTGAGGCGATTATTCTGCTTCAGCATTGCCCTCATTAAAGCGGCTGTTCAGGAGATATATGGCTGCAGGCAATTACCCTCTTTATCATTTATATAATATTATCCCATGATGTATATGGGCTGCTTGGAGATCTACAGGGCGAGCTGTCATCCAGATCTTTAGGGTTTTTTATTTTTATTTGTGTTGTTTTTAAAAGGTTTGAATGAAGGCGTTTAAGGCCCCAAAGGTAAATAAATCTCAACTTTCCATTGCTTCCACAGTTCAGAGGTTTGCTTTTATAGACATTGGTGAGAAATCACGGTCAAACACAGCTGCGAGGTGTAGATGGAAGAATTGTCACTTCCTCGCTCGTTTTCCTGCCCTCTTCCTGTCGCCAGAGGAAGAGTGGCTGATCAAACTCCTTGCTGTTCTCTGACCTCTGACATTTCATTCAAGCTCATTGGCAGGATATGGAGACGTATGGAGGCAAAGAGACAAACAGAAAGACAAGTCTCTAGCCAATAGGGAACAATAAGGTTGAGGTATACTTGAAATGTATGGCTGTTGCGAGCTCAAAGATATACTTAAATCGGTCAGGCAAGGCACAAAAAAATCGTTAAAACTGAGATAACAGTGCACACTTTTAAAGTTAACTCATGGCGTTGCATTTGTGTAATAGAAGAAGTTGTGTGAAGAGTGAAAAATGAGAGCTTGAGAGAGAAGTTAAAGTTCAGACGTACATAACCTTTTAAGAACGGACTGTAAAAAGACCAACAATTCAAAATGCCATCAACCGAAACAGAGCAGCACAGCATATCAAAGCTCTATTTGTATCTACTGCATACATTATAAAAGTATTAATACCTTTCTCAACAATTTATTGTCTGAGAATCAAATTCAAAAACAAATAGAATTTGATGGCATAAATCGTTTTCACAGGCTGCTGATTTCTTAAAATCCTGCTTTGACTGTTATGCTCCATGTGATCAGAGACAGTACTTAGTATGCTCAGATCCATTCAGATCTACCTGTGTATCAGACATATTGACGCACAGATTCGAGACTTGTGGCAGTAAAATGAGACCTAACCCGAAATGATTCATTTAGACCTGGTCCAAATTATGTCTGCTGCCCGAATGCCAAAAAAGGAAAGTGTTTGAGTATTTTATTTAAAGTATAATGACTCTCTCATTCCTCTTATTCCCTTATGGCCGCTACATTTTCCTCTGCTATATATATTGTGAATTGTACTGCAGGGGATAACTACACTTACACTCCGTATTGATGTTGGTGATGCAATAATATTGTCAGAGCTTGAAATATCTGCTGCGGGTAATCAATTAGCGGCTGCCTTGATGTTTAAATTGCCCAGAGTGCTCGTGAGCTTTAATGTCAACGACTAGTTGGCGAGAGAGATATATTTTAAAGGGAAAGCCATTCAGCAGATGTAGAGGAAACCTTTTCTCTAGTGTTGAGTTGTTCCCCGCTTTGTTGGACCCTCAGCGGCCTGCCCTTTCTGCTTTCCCTCGAGGGTTCTTCCTATTGTTGTGCTTTCTCAGCCGTCTGCGCTGATCTCTATTCTCACCCCCATAACCGATTCAATGAGGCTCTGCGATCCTATTGGTGCTCCATTTTTTTTTTTTCTCCAGTGAAAGCGTTTCCATGGAAACCAAAAAATAATGCAGACCCTCACCACTGTTGCTCTTCAACAGCTAATAGCTCTCTAAACAGTTTTCAGGAGAGACACCTCTGCAACAGGCTTCAGGGTGAAATGTGACCACTCAGAACCAGATTACAGACAGAGGGATGTAGCTATCTGTCTGCTTTAATAGACTGGAACACAATGGAAAGTGATTACAGTGTTGTACTGCCTGGGGGTATGTTTGCTAAACCATATGGTGAATATTTTCAAAACGACTCTTCCGTTGAATCCCGATGCACGTGTAGCCACTGTGGAGATGTTATTGATTCCCAGAGCGTGTGCTTTGTAGCGCCTGCATCCACTGCTCTGTGATAAGGGAGTGTATCATTCCAGTGCATCTAAACCACTTCTCGGATTTGTCCGTATCCTCACTCAGGCTTTGACTGCCTTTTTGGAGATGCAATCCGAGCCTGTGTGTTGTGTATGGGGGAGGGTGTGCTGCTGCCAGTTGGGTTCAGCGTCCTGGTGAATCTGATGTCTACTGGCAATATGGTGTGTCGGCGGGATGATGTGGCTGGCTCTATCAACCAGAATACTCCTGGGATATTCTCCATCCACAGTCCCTGTCAGACTGAGAATAGCCTGTCTGAATATCACCATCTAAAGTGGCTGGAGCTGCATTATGTTCATGCCTCCGTAGGCAGCTCTCACCATATTTGAAGCTTTAGTTGTCTGTGCCAACGCTTTGAATCCGGCTGCAAAGTATTGTCAGTCAAAACAGTGCTGCTGACTATTTTTACACATTGAGTCAGGAGCAGTTTAATTGGCGCTCATTGCTATTTCGTTATTTTCAGCTATAAGAGACACCCGTGGCAAAATAGTTTGGAAAAAGTTTAAAGCGTTTCTCCTCATTAGACACAGTCGATAGGAGACGCATCATTCATTGACAGTTTAAGACGGCAGGTAAAGAGCAAGGTATTCTTCTTTTAGTGAATTATGCATGAGTGCAGAGACTCATCAAGGTCACGCTGTATGAGGAGACTGCGGTGAGGTGGGTCTTCTAATAAAGGATAATTAACTTAGTAAGAGCATACACACATTCAATCACCTCAAGGTAGATATTAAAGTTTTACCTGCCAAGAACATCGTCTGGACTGCTGCTATTAAAGACAATACCTTTTTTTCTTTTCCTTATTAATTTTGCCTTCCAGCTGAGCAGTGAAACATTCACACATAAAACACTGAAGCGGTCTTAAATTAGCTCGCTGCTGGGAGCGAGTGCTTCATACATAATAAATGCAAACTCTGTCATTTAAAGTGTCCTAGAATTTTATTTTCTGTGGGTTTTTTTTTCAATCTCACAGTCTTATTCTGCTTTAATGAATTGTGCATATTAGGACAGATGTGCCATTCCCCTGTGTCCTCTGGCCTCGCTGTTTATTCATCTCATTTGCACAGTCCTGACCTCTGCTTCTTCCATTGTGCTTCTGTCCAACAGCCCATGAAAACAGGAGAGGAGGGAGAACCGAGAGAAGTCATCAGATTCACCTGAACGGAGGCACACGCAGATACTCATGGTATGGTATTATTTTATCCAGAACTAGACACACATGGTATTAAAGAGAAGCCATCACTTTTATCTTCAGTGTGAAGAAACACATGTCTGCTCTCAGCATCTGTAATGTAAATGATTCCCACCAAATCCAGCAGTGATGTACCCCAGCAGACACGTGTTAAATCAGCGAGAGAAACAGCAGAAAGCGCTTGTTGACAGTCTCTTTTCAGGAAGATGCTGACAGCAAAGGCGCAAAGCCATTGTTGCCGTCAACAGGAGGCGCGGAGCGGGCGAAAGCCAGAGCGTAAAGCCGGTCCTGCGAAGAGGCAGACAAGTGCTTTTGTCCTTTACCCTCCACAGCAGGCCAGCACTGGTCTTTGTTGAATTCTGATTTGCATTGGCATTTGTTATATTAGTATTCCAGGCACGGCTGAGCAGCAGACATGTATAGATTGAAAGGTTAAAGGGGAGTTTAGACCCAGACACATCAGCTGTAATCAGTCATAGCACATAACCATAAAGGCAGCCAAGCAGACAAATGTGTGTTACATCTGAAAGTGACAGGTAAGATAATAACCTGAATATTTAGCCATTTGAATTTTATGAGAACTGACTTAAAGGACAATTCTGGTTTATAACAATTAAAGTCTTGTTTTTTGAGATGTTATCGTATTTACCTAATGAGTTAGTAACACAACAACATGCTGAAAAAACGGAGAAAGAAACTCGAACAGTCAGATGACCATATGTGTGAAACAAAGGTTAAGGAGGAAAAATAAAATGCAAGCTGTTTATATATTACCCACATTTTTAGGTATAAACATCCAAAACAGTTTAAAGGCTAACATGTATTTGCTGCTCTCAATTTGATTTCGATTGCCTGGCTAAATGTTTGGCTCACTGACATGTTTCTGTTTTTGGCCCCGTCGTACAAAGTTCTAATGACTTCAGAATATCATTTTTTTACAGAGTCTTCATAGTTAGTATAGATTATAAAGAATTAAAGTGCCTTCTCAAGCTTTGAAACGGTAGTGAGCAAAGTTTGTTCTTCACCTTAGAAAAAGCTGTTAATGAAGCTGTCAGAAGGAAATGAACATTTTTCACACAATTGCAAAGGGGCAAACTCCACATGTAAGAGTGCGTGATACAATTAAAGCCTCAGAACAACTAAATGGACCTTGTGGTGAGATGATTTGGTCAGACATAAATGAGAAGAAGATCCAACCTGTAATAAACCAAAGGAATCCTCTTAATGTCTTTGATAATTGCTTAGAGCAAGCATGATGTTAGCCGGTTGCTCCTTAATCACACTGTCTCACAGTCATAGAGTTACATTAATAACCACATACAGTACAAGGTGCCTCCGCTGCAGCAAATTGCAAGGTGAGATCAAAGAATCCTTCATTTTCTTCTGCTGTTCATGTTCAGGCATTAACACACTTTTGGTTTATTTCTATGGAGTTGTTATTTGCAATGGGGCCTCCAGTATATGAGGTTATCTCTTTCATCTGTGGCACAAATATTCACATGCTTGATCCTCAAGGCTTTTATTTTAATCCCTGCATTGTGCGTGTAAGAAAAATGAGGTTACACTGTTCCTTTTGCTGTTTCTCCTTTCTTGAACTTGTGTTGACTGTATGAAGGTTCAGATTTGAGTTTTCTTTCACAAAGTCATCATCAGAAAGTGATGAAATGACTACAGAGGGGAACTAGCTGAATTCAAACTAACATATGGCCTTGCAACAGGGTGTGAGTGATCGCTCATTAGACAAATGGCTGGCCAGGCTGTCCCCCAGTCGTAAAGTGCTCGGCCCTGCTCCCCTTTGTTTTCTAACAGGAACTAGTGCTAAGTGGCGATGCCAAATACTGATCTGCAGACAAAGGCCACTCTCACCACATATCCGGGTTGCCTTGGAGACCAGAGTCCTTATTGGAGGGCTGGAGAGTTTCCAAAATCTGCTAAAAACACAACATTTCACAACATTGTGTATTGGAGCCGTCAGAAAGTCAACTCTGATTATTTGTTTTATGCATATGCTTGTGTCCATTGTGCGGATTTGGTGACATTCAAGCACTTGTGTGTGTATTAAGTGATTCTGCTCATGTTTACCCTCCTAAGTTTCCTTTTGTGTCGAGTCCCCTGAGGCTGAAAGTGTTGTCTATTTTTGTTAAATCTGACATTGTTTACTTCTGCCGAGGCCATCTGTGATGTAAACTCGCTTTATATGGAGATTTGGCAAAGACAACAGCCTTGACTAGAACGGTTTAAAACAAGGTCCGGAGAGAACACCACCAACATTTTAATTGTCTCTTGCCTGAGGGTCCACAACACTGGACAGAGTAGAGTTGGTGAGATTATTGATTGGTTTGCAAACTTTTTGTCCAACTGGTATTGATTCAATTCCTCGTGACCCTGACATGAGAAGAAGATTCTGGCTAATATTGCGGGAACTTGCAGAGAAAAAGGCAGAAATACAAGATTCAGGAAAATAATTATCCCTGTTGTCCTCATGGTAATTATCGAGCATTTAGTTTTGAATTGAGTTAGAGCTCATTTTTCTGGAAAGCCAATATTTCATCCTCCAAGGCGTCCTGTGGGAAAAGACAGAGCTGAGATTAAGTAGGCGGTTAGGTGTTTATGTGTTCATTGTGTGCCACTACCACATGCCCTCACTGCCCGACAACCACAGGACTAAGGGCCTGAACTCAAGGGGATCAATGCATCATTGACCATGTGCCTGAGTCTGGTATTGATCCAGCCTGCGGAGCCAGTTTGTATCTACACTCAGCCAGATTGAGGTGGCAACACAATTAAGTGAGAATCTCTGCTTTGAGCGGGAACACACACACACTAGTGTTCAAAAGAAACCAAAATCTTCTCATCTCAATCACATGTCGTCTGCCCGAGTTAACCAAGAAGCTATCGAGGCCCTTCCCCCCCCTCCACTCCGTCTTATCTAAGCGGCTGGAGAATTGATTCCAGTGTATGAGTATGAGCAACTGTTACTGAGCGAACAGCTGGACGTATGCCCAGCTGGGATGTCAAGAATGTGGCCTGCAGTGCAGTTGACAACACATGGTCAGTGAGTTTCTGACTGTGCATTTGTTCAGTTTTGGGAGCCTTTTCCGTTAATCAGCCTTTTGTTCAGGAGTGTGCCAGCTGCCTGGTCAGAGGACTTCTGCTCTCGGGGGTTCACGCAATCTCATTTCCAAACTGAATGGGTCAGGAGAGCGCCACTCTCAGGAACAGATAAGAACTGCTATGTATTCACTGCACGTATTGCAACAATGGTCTGAAATGATAAATGGCATTGCAAGGCAGAGCAAATTCATCAGAGACTGCCTTCTTTTTTTTGTGGTGAACTAGCAATGTGCAGAAGCAGATCATTTTTGCCATTCCTTTATATGCACTGTGAAAACTCATTAAGCTTAGCCGGTCTGAGGGTAGAGCATTTCAACGTCTGCACCAGAGCATCTAACCAACATTAGGACATTTGCCTCAAGTCTAGCAGTTTGTCCAACTTTCCAACCCGGCTGTTTTTCTGCGCCGTGCTTTCTGTGTGAGCTAAACCCACACACACTGTTCGCCCGGTCGCCTTTGAGCTACTTTCGTACACTTTGTCTTTGTGGTTGTTCACTGTTGTCTGCAAGCTGCATGCCCTCTAAAGCAGCATCGGTGCTATAGCTGCTTAGCATTCAGTACACTTCAAAGCTCCTCGTGTGACAGCACAGCCCAGGGCTCACTCTCTCCTAATTGGAGGTTCATTAAGGGACATGGTGTGCCTCAGGGGAGCCCTGCTCTCTGCCAGAGGAGAGCAGTCTTTATTCGGATGTTGGGATGTTTACTTGCTGCGGCTGATTTAGGAAGTCATGGAGAAATATGAAAATGGGGTTTTAATTGAGATTAGGGCTGATCTGGCATGTGTGTGTTCCCTTGGTGTCATTGTCAGAGGGTATTAGCGCACCCTGGGGGGAGAGCTTTAGAGTGGCATACAGTAGATGAAAAACACACACCTGCTCCCACTGCACCAGGGCGCCAGAGGACGAAATGTGCCTCCCCCAGGGTTCAACTAGGTGATAATTTAGAGGGTCAACGGCATTTAAAAGGGTCAAGCTCCAACCCTTACACTCTCAACAGGGCCTTAATATTAATGGTTACTTTTTATGCAGGCTCACGCTCAAGATGAAGTGAACTGGCTGGTTGGTGGGGGGTTGGATGGTGGCGACAGTTTGGCGAGGAGCAGACGCAGTGTCCTTGTCGTGCTGATGCATTTGTCCGGGGCGGTGGCCGGTGAAGCAGGGGAATATGGACTCACTTCATTAATCGTGTCAACTTCAAAAGAGAACAACCCAAGGGTGTCCTATTTATATAAGGAGTGCTCTTAATGTAGTCCTATGTCTTTCTTATCTCTTAACCACAGTGAGCTAACAGGACCATCAGGGATGATAGTGGAGACGCCGGTGAAACATACCTCTGGAGTTTAGCACAAAAACAAGCCTGTATAAATGTGTCATAATTCCTCATATTCATACTGAGAAGAATGTAGGTCAGACGGGGTTGCCCTCATTACAGAGCTCTGGCTTCTGTCGGTACTGTGAGGATAATTTAGGATCACTTCTCATTAATCTACTATCAAACTCAACCATGCCTGGCTCCACGGCCCAAGCAGGCTGTGGGTTGATGTCTGCCAAGAGTAAACAAAGGGATCTTAGAGCCGTGTGGCCTTTCATGATGTCAGTAACAAGAGAGGCTGCAGACGTAGATGGAGTTGGCATTTACTGGATACCTCAGGGCAAAGACTGCCTCTTAGATTGTCAGATTGAGGACATCCATACAATTTCCCAGCTAATAAACACATTGTCTGCAAATATAGCAGTGCTGTCTCCTTCACTGCTTTATTTGTTTTTAATAGTTGTTTTTTTGCTAGTCAATACAAACACAATGCCACACGACTCCTTATCTTGACACATTGCTGGCTAAGCAGAGCAGCACACCTGAGGAAGATCTGCCTATAATCTATAGTGGTAATTTGTCGATGTTGTTGTAAGACACGCAGCTCCTGGGGTGTGAACCGCGTGTCCCTTGTCTACATAATGCACTCTGCAGAATATTCAGAGAGACTTAGCGGTCTGATCACTACAGCTGGCCTTTGATCGATGAGGACCAGCGATCCCATGGGACTCATAGGGAAAGACCAGTTTGTTTACTCTGCACTTTCTCCAGGGTCTCTGTGGCAGTTTGATTTATACTTTGCTGGTTTGCACCATAGGCTTGTTATTTGGAGCCGGGAAAGGCCTGTATAGTGCACTTCAATCTTAAGCATCCAATGCATTTTAATGTAGAAGAGAAAATTGGCTCCACATCTGACAGTTCGGTTGACCCTGTGATGGGAGCGAAGAGCTAAAGGGTGAAGCTGGAAGAGAAATCAGACATTTTGTTTGGAGAATGAGATCTGAGCTGAGCCCTGAGAGTTTTTCCATCCAACTCTTTCCTCCCCTTCCTCCCCCTCCTTATTCCGCCTCTTCATCCCCTGCTCCAATAAATACAGTCAAACTCTTCAGAGGGGCCCAGGACTAACCGTGCAGAGCAGGAGGGCTGAGAAAGGGTCTTTTTTGATGCTTTTCCCTGTGAATATAATGTATGCAAATCTCAATTAAGACCCCCTGTGCCCTCATTAGGCGTTTCAGTGGGGCTTAGGAAGGGGGGGTTAATTAAAACCCATCCCGGGCTACGAGGCTGCTGGTTGCTCTCAGAGTACCACAGGGAGGGTGATCAATACCTAAGCATATCATTATGATTTAGAGGAGGTGTTAAACCATAGCTTTAAATCAATTTCCTTGGGTCTGGGGAGGAAAGGAGGAGAGGAAAAAATAATAAGCCCTCAGGCTGGTGAGGGAGGGAAATGTTCTCATTCTACGTTAGCTCGCTCCCACAGCAGACAAAGACCGCCTTCTTCAGTATTGTTTAATTTTATTGTCACGGCAACTTACACAAGCCTACAATAAGACAAAAAACCTGTTGGCTCATATCACATTGAAATTAGATTCAGGAGGAAAAACAAACCGGTGCAAGCACACCATAATAAAAGAAAAACAGACCAGGAAAAGATATGGGTCACGACTTTCTTATTCCCACAATTGCCATGCCTCTGTGAAATTTGCAGCACGCAATGGAGCAGTTCATCTTAAATACAGTGAGAGGTATTTCAGCTAATAATGTGAATTTCCGAGATGGTCAAGGCTGAATTACATTTGAGTGACAGTAGGGGTCCTTCAAAGACGGACAGGAATCAAAGTTTGCGTCGATCATAACCACAGCTACAGCGGTGCCTCCGAGAAGCAAACAGAGCACCCAGAGGACTGACAGCACCTCACACATCGGAGAGACTGCCTGAAGATTATGAGATTACATCTGACGGACGTGCAGCAAAGCACAGACAAAAGAAGTGGACAAAAATGCATTTCGACTTTTTTGTTTTCAATTTGAGATGACAGTGTCTGGCTGCCTGGTTCCGTAAACCTATTTACAATTCCTCAGAGAAGTCGCCTTTTAATCCGCTTGTTACGCAGCCTCAATCTTGGCTATCACTATGGGAGAGCTAATTAATAATCACAACTACAAAGCAGAGAGTGTCGATTCGTTTCTGCCAAATAATTAATTTTCTTCTATCACTGAGACTGCAATTATATCCTCCCAATGGATTTTTTTTATTCTTCAGTTTTGCATATTATGTAGAGATGATTCCTTAGACAATTCCCATCCTCCCTGAGGCAAAAATCTTGTTCATTTCAAGCTTTGTAAGTTAAACAAATGCTTCAGTGAAGGCTTTGTGGTGCATCAATGATATGTAGGTATAAAGGGTCAGGGATGCTGAGGCCCCCATGTTGTCTCCTAATGCTGGAGAGGCGTTATTCATTAGGCAGGAGTGCCTCCAGGACGGGCCCTCATCAGGGAAAGTGTGTTTATGTCAGATAGAGGCTGGCTGATGGGAGCGCAGGGCTCCTACCTCTCATTACATTAAGTAGAAGAAGCTCCATGGTAAAGGCCATATGTTGACCGTTAATGCACATTGAGCCCCAGTCAGGACTCATATCCTTAAAACGCTCTGAGATAGACAGCCCCTCGAGTCATTCTGAACCCGAGGACCCCATCTGTCCAAAGATAGGAAGTGCTGATAGGGGAAAGCACGTTTTAAAATTACATAAGTTGTCACGGTGTGTGGTGAGATGAGTTGTGTCAGGTTGGGTTGACATTGTGTCGCCCAAACTTGTAGTTACTTAGGGATTGCTGCTGAGAGACTATAGCTGATACCGTGCGCCTGAGGGGATAGAACAAGGATTTTCAGCTGAAATTGGACCAAATGAACGTGTGTGTGTGTGTGTGTGTGTGTGGTGTGTGTGTGTGTGTGTGTGTGTGTGTGTGTGTGTGTGTGTGTGTGTGTGTGTGTGTGTGTGTGTGTGTGTGTGTGTGTGTGTGTGTGTGTGTGTGTGTGTGTGTGTGTGTGTGTGTGTGTGTGTGTGTGTGTGTGTGTGTGTGTGTGTGTGTGTGTGTGTGTGTGTGTGTGTGTGTGTGTGTGTGTGTGTGTGTGTGTGTGTGTGTGTGTGTGTGTGTGTGTGTGTGTGTGTGTGTGTGTGTGTGTGTGTGTGTGTGTGTGTGTGTGTGTGTGTGTGTGTGTGTGTGGTGTGTGTGTGTGTGTGTGTGTGTGTGTGTGTGTGTGTGTGTGTGTGTGTGTGTGTGTGTGTGTGTGTGTGTGTGTGTGTGTGTGTGTGTGTGTGTGTGTGTGTGTGTGTGTGTGTGTGTGTGTGTTTGAGTGGCAGAACTCATTAAACATGTGAGCAGGTTTTTGCAGAGTATTCTTTTCTTGGCAGGTTCATGAATGCCTATCCAGAACGCAGCAGAATGGGAATACTGTGAGCATTTGCCAAGATTCATTAAGTGGCCTGTTTAATGTTTATGTTGTTTTCTTTCAGGGGCAGGGAGAGGCTTCAGCGCGGGGGACAACCATGGAGGGGGACTGTCTGAGCTGCATCAAGTACCTCATGTTTGTCTTCAATTTCCTCATCTTTGTAAGTATTTTTCATCTCTTTCTCTGTGACTCTTAATCTGGCAATCTCTGAAGTTAGTGTCAATCTAATGATTTGAAATGGGGTTTTGGCTGCCCCCTTACTGACTGACTAATGGAGCCACATTTGCATTTCATTAAAGGGAGGCAATCTTGATTCTATCAAATTCTCTTTTGATTAGATTTTAGTGTGCTGACACACATCTGAGGCGCACCGTGCCATGAAGAGTTTGTGAGTGGCACCTGAGTTTATCAGTCCTGATCAGACAATCAAGGGTAATCCTGTTAGTCTGAGCCTGTAAAGGGGGGGAGGGTCTAAGTAAGAAGGTTTGTCTCTTTTCCTGCTTTATTAAGCGCAACCAAACCGTTTAGAGACTCTACTCAGACGCAGTTGTTCAAGGCCGGGGTAATAATGCAACCAGCAGAGCAAAGAATGAACTTGACTGTTAGAATCACTCAATAACAACCACTGTTTTGCACTGACATCCGATTGTTTCTCTCTACCGACACACAACAGCATTTTATCAAAACCCAATGAGCTTTCAAAATGGCTTCCTCCTCTCCTCACGCCATCACCTCTTCCTCTAATAGAAGTGGTGTTCATTTGTTGAAACCCAGGTCCCTCCCTGTGACAGGAAGGAGGGGATTGTAGTGGAAGTGTGTCAAGCTCAGATCTCTTCAACCCCCTACCTCAATACCTTCTTTCCTTAATCACATGAGTCACACCACAGTGGCTGCAGATAGGGTTTTAGTGAAAGGGAGGATGGAGAGAATGGAGGCTGCAGTGATGTGCATTTCTTTAGCAGGTTGGGGGGTTAGTTAAAGTAGGATAGATATCTTCACCAACCCCCCACTGAGGCATTATGGCTCTGTAGATGTCTAGCCTTTTATCTGCCGTCAGCTCTCGCCCAACCTTTTAGAGATTTGCATTACTGGTATTTTTTTTCCAGCAAAAAGCACACATTTATTTTCCATTATATGACATCTTGTTGAATGTTTTGTGTGCCACCGGGGATACCGACTGAATTCCCATCAATTTTTAAAATGCAGTCAGTTCCTGTTTTGTCTAACTCTTGTCTTCTTTCCCTTTTCTCCATTAGCTGGGGGGCTCTTTCCTCCTGGGAGTGGGAGTGTGGGTACTGGTGGACCCCACAGGGTTCAGAGAAATTGTCGCAGCGAACCCCCTGTTATTCACTGGTGTCTACATCATCCTGGGCATGGGAGGCATGCTCTTCCTCCTGGGCTTCCTCGGCTGCTGTGGAGCCATCCGCGAAAACAAGTGTCTGCTCCTCTTTGTGAGTTAGCCGACAAAATCAAAACGTAGTTCTGTAACTGATCCTGTTTGTGTGCATATGTGTTGATTATTCTGTCTGTCAGTTTTGGGACTGTCAAGCCAAAAGAGCAAAAATGCTTTTCTATTTGTCTGTGTGCCACAGGCCTCATGCATAGTTAATGCTAAGTGAAGCGGGCACAGCCAGAATGTGATTTTTACTGACTGAATATTTCTGCCACTCATCCACCATGTCCAACTCTCTCTTTTTTGGTTTGTCTTTTTGCAGTTCTTCATGCTCATCCTCCTCATCTTCCTAGCAGAGCTGGCTGCTGCCATCCTGGCCTTCATTTTCCGGGAGCATGTAAGTCTCCTCAGCACTCACCTCAACTTCTCTGATGTGAAAGAAACAGATATCCTCCCTGTGGTGACACTAACCTGTGCTCTCGCTGGCTATTTCCTTTAGCTGACCAGAGAGTACTTCACCAAGGAGCTGAAGAGACACTACCAGGGCTACAACAACACTGATGTCTTCACCTCAACATGGAACGCCGTCATGAATACAGTAAGGCCTCAGCACACATGGCAAACAGCTTTGTAGCTTTTACCAACTCATTGCTTTCTCCAACAGTATGTGGAAACAGGAACGTTTCAGCTTGGCCTCAAGAGGCTATATTTTATACATAAAACCCCTAGACATTTAGGTCAATATTCATGCTAGGTTGTTGCACGCATACAGTGGACCACAGGCCAGTGCACAAACAGGCACTCAGAAATAAGGGTTTCTTCTCCTATTCTCTCCTCTCCTCCCATTAGTTTGACTGCTGTGGGGTGAACAGCCCAGAGGATTTTAAGGACAGTCTGTTCAGGATGATCAACCAAAATCATATGGTGCCAGAAGCCTGCTGCCAGCGTGCCAGTCAGACCGGGGAGTTGGCCTATATCAGCAAGGAGCAGTGCCTATTGGGCAATATGATGTTCCGCAATAACAAGGTAAGTTCTGACATCTACCACGGCACCTTCTCTCTCGCATGTCCTCTCTCTTTCTCCCTCCTTCCAAACCACCTCCAGCCTTAATTAGAGCGGGAGACAGTTGAGGGGTGACATCCAGGGACTTTCAGACTCCTCCATTGCTGATTAGTGCTCTTGGGTGTCATGGGAGACCATCTTACTATGTGTTATAGTGTGGAGACACCAGTGTATGTATGCATCTTAGCGTGTGTGTGTATGTGTTTGTGTACGTGTGCATATATTGGAACATTTGAATTTTCAAGAAGCGTATATGTGTGTGCAAGGATAGAGGATAATGAGTGTATGAATATGTGAAAATTAGCTGTGCTTCACAGTTGCACACATGCACACCCATATCCCAGCTTCCACCTGTGTAAAGAAAGCCTTAGAGTGAAATGTAATTACAGTGGAAGCTGATAGGAAGAGGTTTTTACCACACTCTCCACCTGTTGTCTCTTTAAACCACAAGAACAATGAGAGATGTCCCACAATGTGTGTCTCTCTCTGTTCACTCACACAAAGAGCCCTCATTAACAGGCATTGAGGCTTTGGAGCCCTGTTTCCCTCTCATTCAAACAGGCCTTTGTTCAGAGTCTCCCTCAATTAAAGCTGTGATGTTACTTTAATTGTCGCTGTAATTCTGAAAGTTTATAGCCGATTGATTTCCCTGCTGATCGTCACTTCTTTGTGTGTCCTCAGGGCTGTTACTCTGCAGTTGTTGACTACTTCGAACTGTACATCTATGTGGCAGGAGCGCTTGCCATTGTGGTGCTGACCATTGAGGTATGAAGGTTTTTCATTTTAGTAGATTTATCACATATGCAGCCTTTTCTTTGTCTCTCCAGTGATGTGAATATTCATTTTAGAAATGAGGAATTCTGCATTAGGCTGAGGATATTTTCCTGAATATGTCTAGTGTTCTTCAAAAGCTCTTTGTATGGGAACATCTCCATCTAGTGGTCAGACTTGGTGCTACAGGAACATAGATAATATTTCACAATTGGTTGTGCATGTCTCAGTCTATAACAAGATCACGTTTTATTCACATTTTTCTGAGGTGCCATTCATTTTAAGATAATAATGAAATTAGAAAAAATTATATTTACCGTTTTGTGTTTCCTAGTAAATACAAACTTGAGTCCATTTATTGCTGTTAAAACAAGGGAAATAGTAATCCAGAGTGTGAGAACTATACTGCTGCTGGTTTAACATGCATGTCACAATTTTGAAAGACAACCTTATGTCTCTTTTCCTTGTTAATAATAATATTTTTTTTCCTTCCTCAGCTCTTTGCCATGGTGTTTGCGATGTGTCTCTTCAGGGGAATCCAATAGAGCTGCTCCACCTGTGAACTTCTTTTTCTAAAAAGGGAATTCAGGAGAAAAGAACAAAATGGACATTTGTAAATTTGTTGATCTCCTTTTCTATTGGCTAATTGTTAGAAAAACAAACTCTCAAACTCTTGTACTTCACAGCTGGACTTTTGAGGTACTGGGTGCCAAAACAACACGTATACACACACACATAAATCATAGAGAAAGTGGGAGACAAAACTGATGTAAAAAGATTTGTGTGTAAAGTGGAAACAGTAATTCTTTTGGACCAGGTCTAGCACAGACTGGGTGTAAAGTGGACACGGCATGAGGACCAGGTGAAGCCTGAGCAGAAGGCACTGCACTGACTTTTGGATGAAGAATATTTATATTAAGTAAAGTTGGCTTAACTGTAAAAAAAAATGTGTGTTATGTACACTTTGGCTGTTTCCCTTTTCCTGCTCATACTGTATACTGTAACACTCCCTCCCTTCATATGCCTTTTATACAGCCACGCTTCTTTAATGCTGTGTTACATAAGCCCTGTGTGTGAGTGAGTGTGTGGGTGTGTGTGTGTTTGTGTACATACTGGATGCTCTTTTTGAATGTGTATGAAATAGTTTGTGAGCATGTGAGCTCGAGGCTCTTCATGACCCCTCCTAAGCTTTGAAAGCCAACCTCTGATTCTTTTTCTATCTGTATGGTGCTGTTTACTGCAGTAGTGGTTATAATGTGGTTTTAGGTGGTGAAATGTATGTGTATGCATTTGTATTAGATTCTTGAAAAGTCAATGACATAAATGGCATTCTAAATGACTGTCCTTGTGTTTTTGTTTTATTTACTTCTCACACTGCCAACACAATTTCAGATCATGTTCATAAATACAATTATCCTTATGTGTAGTGTTGTCGACATGGTAATCAATATGCATCACATTCATGTTGGACCACATTGTGTGAGAATAAAAAAATGTCCAGCAGTTTTATTCATTATTAACAGATTTAATTGCTTCAATTTTTTTCAGAGGGAGAACAAAAACGTTGTGATTTTAGGAGAAAAACAAAGCTTAAACACTTTTTTTAAGCCCCATCAAAATAATCTATTGCTATTTGTTGCAGCCTTGTGGCCTTAGTGTTTGATCTATCTTAAAGCAAATTATTCATCTCTGCTGCACTTTTTGACATTTGAAGTATTGAAACACAAAAGCTGACTTAATATATTGATGAGCCAAAGCATTATAAAATGTGATTATAGTCCACGTATGGCTCTTGGTGTTATTGTGATAATGGACTCAATTTCCCATTGAATGTATTAGCGTATTGATTCTTTTCCTGCAAGAAAAATCCATGATAATTGAAGACAAAATAAAGAAAGAATTAATAAGCTATGGTTCCGAGTGTGGAGATGCCAAACCATCATATGGCGAAGTAACAGATTTTTCAAAGTAGAAAATGTGCCCCTGATTTTCAAGAAGTGGTTTCACAGAATACACTTTCACTAGATTAAACAAAGAAAAACATGTCTAAACATTTCAGATGTTGGTTGTATAAACCTGTCAAGATTGTGGCACGTATGGTGTAAAGTAAGACACTAAACTAAAAACTAAATAATCTGACAGAGCTCAAGCTCCCACTTTGTTCACAGCAGCAACATGTATGCCTTCTGAACAATTTAACAATCAAACGTTCTTTTGACATGTGAGGAAAAACACTAGGGAGGAAAATTAAATATAGGTCTATGTGGTCTGTAATGCTTTCTCTCTTCGGTAATTGTTTTTCTTAATTTGTCGGCTGTTTACTCTGATAGCTGCCATGCTCACTGCTCAGAATTAGCCTGGGGACAAATGGCAAATGTGCTTTAAATTAACTATGTTATGTTTTCATGTGAATATGCAAACCTAATGCTGACTTAACTACACAGACCAGTTTCAATAGATGTTGGCTGAATTAATCGTTTTATTAAATGTAGTGCTGTTGGAGCTGTTGGCCACTAGGAGGCAGGAAAACATCAAACAAGATGGATGCTGTTGTCCAATTCATCTGGGCCAGTCGACCTGTCCACCTGTAAAGAACTTAAATCTGACGTTTTACAAACAAATGTTTCACGTTCATTGGAAAACATTGATTTGGAGTCGTGTCTCTGCCCACCTGATGAATGTAAGTACGATGTTCACTATGCATTTCTGTTTCTGTTGAGCTTTGTTTGCTTGCACAGCCCCGTGTGACTCAAACGCAAAACGAGTTAAAAGTGGCAACAAAACTCCATAAAGTCCACAATACAGGCTCAGGATTTGTTATAAACTCTAAAAAGATTGGATAACTTTGATACATTCTTATTTATCTTGACTCAAAGGGATTTGCTCATGCGTTTGCATTGTGGTCTGGATTAAGCTAATATTTAAAGATTGAGGAAGGCCTCAGCAACTACAATCCGTGACATTATTACAAACCTGGGATTTTGAAATGATTCAAGTAATTCCAAACTTTAACAGGGTAATTATTTTTCATTGTCTGGATAAGTTTAAGTGTAAATTATGCCTTAATATCTTTGGGTTTAGGACAAACAATTTGGAGATGTCATCAGGCCTTTGCAGAAATGTGTTTGGCATTTTCCCTATTTCTGACATTCTGTAGATACAATTTCAAATCATTATTACCAGAAATAACACTTTAATAAAAATGAAAACAGCTATTGCCCTTTGTTATTGTGGGCCACATGTTTGAATTGTATTGGGTGTGTAAAGTATTTAAACAGCGATGCAATATCAGAAGCTGTATTGTGCCACATAGATGCAATCATGCAGAGCACCTTCATCAGGTGACATCATGATTTGAAGAAGTGCAGGGGAACTTGTGATAGATACTCTCAGCACTATGCAAGGTTTACTACTCTGCTTTACCCTGCTCTGCTCTCACTTTGGAGACACACCTACAGCTTGGATATGTAAAGTAGCTGGACTGTAACAGTGAAATAGTGCGAGTGCAGGTTTAGGCCGGCCTGCTGAGCTGCAGGGGGGGGGGGGGTACATATATCTGGACTGAGGTTCAGTCAAGCTCAACAGGTGTTACTCATTCAGTCTCTCCTGGTTGCCCTTCATCCTTTCTCCTGGCTGCTAACAGGCAGGGATGGTTGGCGTGTTTTTCGACACCTCCTTCAAAATGTTCTTTTGGAGCTTGTTTTCACTCATCTCTCTGTATTAGGGCTGCAATTTCCAAATGTATCCTTTCATGATACCTTTTTTTTTAGGCACTTTGTGGCGCACGATAAACACACGATTGAAAGCATTGTTTCTTTGTGGAGAAAATGTAGCTCTACAGATGAAGAAAAAATTATCGATTAGTCGACTTTTCCGATTGGACTAAAATGTCTTTAGTTGAGGACAGCCCTCCCCTGTAGGTGTTTTCCATCTTTAATTTGTTTCAGGTCCCTTTGGAGTTGTTTATTTAAACACACATTAAGGTTGGCTTATAGATCTAACAAAAAGTATGTCTATAGATACAAAAAAAAGCTGTCTTATTCTCAGCTATAAAGGTATAGTTCAATTTACATTTTGGGTAAAATGGGACTCTTTTTAAAAAGACAGAGCGTGCTAAAGCTTCATGCTGCTCAGCACTGTTGACGAGTGAAGGAGTAGCAGAAGACAAAACGTCCCTGGGGTCTGTTACAAGTATTTTCAGTCTCACTGTTTGATCCAAAACTTTGTTTAAAAACCACATGTCAGATACATTTTTTCTGATATTTGCCAGCAGGTGACCGGTTGAATGGAAACACTTTCTTTATTTCTGGGAAGGCCAGACCTAGAGTGACTTAACTTGTAGGCCTTTAAAGAAAACATTTCAGACTTGCATTAGACTATTCTTAGAGCAACTATTTTTCACTTTTAACAGACCTCTGTGAAACCTGGCTTGGCACATACTCGTTTGTTAGTTATTTTGGTTACTTTTCCTCAAGAGTTATGGACAAACATATCTTGCAACAAACACAGATACAAAAAATAGGCCTACATTGTATATGTAGCTCGTTCTTAAGTAACGTTTTATCTACTAGATGTTTTTTCATTTTTATATAAATATTACTGTTCTCTTTAATTTAAAATCAGGCATGCCCAGTATTGTTTTTAATAATCATTTTTTTGTTAAATTAAATTCATCTTCTTTGCTGTACCTCAACTTCCTTAAACACAACATAACAATGATTACTGTACTTCCAAAGTAGACTTATGTATATTCATTACCCTGTGTTTCTCAAATTAAAAGTAATTGTGAGGATAAAACTTTATGAAACTGGCTGAACAAGCGAACTGAACATGTGATTACAATTTTCCCAGCAGGGTTATTAATGAACACACTTTTATGCTTTGGGAATGTATGAATACTTGTTCAGCTCAAGGTGAGTCGAACAGCGTCCAGCTGACTTCTTTTAGCTTCCCTTCCTCCTTACAATATACTGGAGCTCATTACAGTCAGCTCAAATCAAAAGTTTGATGTATGTCTTTTATCTTACTATGTGTAATACTTGTTTCAGGGTCTTTTATTTTATAAATTGTGTTTTCTACCTGTTGTTGTTTTCATTTGTAAGCCAATAGTTTTGCTGATTTACCTCCTACCTCATAATATCTTTGTTTTAGAAATATCTTTTTTTTTAATATGTCGTTTGAGAGGATTTCATGGAGTTCGTTCTTTTTTTTTTATCTATTTCCATTTTAGTTTTTGTATTTAGGGTTTTCTTATGTATAGTTTCTAGATGTTTTAGTTCTGTTGGAAGCTGATTTGTTTTCTCTTTTCTTTGCTTATTTATGTTTGAGGAGTATCCAATAATTGTTCTAAGAACAGCTTTGCATGCATCCCATAAAATGATTCACACTTCTCCATTATTATTAATGTTTAGATAATCTTTTATATCGGTCCTAATTTGCGGCCTAATTTGGAAACCCTGTGTTGCTTTTGAAGGGAAAAAAAGACTCATGGCAATCATCCCTTAAAGGGCCCATGTCATGGCCATTTCCACTGATCATAATTCCATTGTTGAGGTATACTAGAATAGATTTATATTGTGCATTTTTCCAAACTCACATTGGTTTCTCATACAGCATCTCTGAATTTCACTCTCTGCCTTTAACGGCTCGTTGTAGCTCCAATAGCTCCAGCCCCCACCCTCCCTGTGAGCACAGTGTGCTCTGATTGGTCGGGACGTTGTGAATCGCACTGAGCTCCGTGGAGGTGTTGTTTCCTTGTTAGCAATACACAGCCAAACACAGCCAAACTCATCCTGAGCACACACAAAGTCACAGCCGAAGTAAAAACAATAAGTGTGGCTTGATATTGAGTAAGAAAAAGGTTGATAAACGCTGTGAGAATGGGTCTGCAGAAATCCCAACTGTCTGTTATCAGCCTGCAGCCAGGGAGGAGAAATCAGCTGAGCTGCCTGTGTGTGAGGAAGTCCGTGGATTGGTCAATTTGGACCAATCAGCGGGGGCTTAACGTAACGGCTCCGCGGACGTAACGTAACGGCTCCACGGATTGGTCCATTTCGTTCCGGGTACGGCTTGACATCATGCCGTATCCGGAACGAAATGGAAGAATCAAATGGACAATGACGCATCTCCAACGAGGCGTTTTGGGGAGGTATTTTCTGTGTTAGAGTTTTACTCGCTACAGGGTGTACTTTGAGGGTTTGTGACTCTGCACACTGTTTACATGCATAAAAACCTTCATAACACACAAGGGGACGGGTAATAACCGGAAAAGCATGACATGGGCCCTTTAATAAATCCCCTACATTTTCCCCTAAATATTCCCCTAAATAACGCATGCTAC